AAGACATGGCAGAACGGGATTGGCAGAACGTTGTTTACAACCTTATATCAGACTCACGAAGGAATTGAAGATGAGGTACGCTGATTCTGCAAATAATCTCACAAGGAAGTTATAAAATCACGCACTCGCGCAAGAAATGCAGATGAAGTTGTAGCACGATCTGCTTTGAGGAACACTAGAGTTATTGATACTCGCTTTCATTATTTTTATATGAGTGTATGCAGAGCAAGAAAAAACTTCTCACTGACCAGGAAATGACAACGATCAATGTGGTGGGTACATAAGACTGCATGACATGATGGGTGACCTCTCTCTTTACAAAGAATTCGGCAGTCACACAGCTCCAGGTCCCTAAAAATGTTGATTTTCTTTTCAATCCGTATGCTATTCGTATACAATAATTGAGAGTTAAGTTTGATAAGGAAAAGTCGAGATTGTTAATTTTCGTTCATAAGATAGTCAGAATTGTTCGCCAGTGTCAATTACTCAGCTGACTGTTTATTTTAGATAGTGTTTTAAATTGATCTCCTGTACCTGTAGAATAATTTCCATCACAGTAACCCGGGTAGAGATCGACAATGTGCATGTCGGACATAGCGATTTGCATATTTCTAGTAATGGGTGTCTCTTCCACCCACTCAATCTGTAGCTGGTCAGTGGTGTAGGCGTCTAAAACAAGAGCATACAGAATGAACACAGGTAGCGGATATTTGACAAACAGCTCAAAATTCGCAGATGACATCGTTGCGAGTCCAATGGCCACTTCTCAAGATTCAGTGTGCACACGACAACCATCGAAATGCGAGTATCGTAAAGAATTGAGCCATCTGGTTCTATCCACAGCAGAAAGTTTGGCTGCGTTACCTGATGAAGGGACAAGGTTCAACTGATCTTGATTAAATCGTAATAGCAATTACCTGATGAAACTCTGCGATCCTCGCATTTGCAAAGTAAACGTCAGGATGCCACATCTTTCCCAGCATCTCTTTGTCGCGGATTAGTACGCGCCTGCAGAGAAAACGGATAAATTAGGGATGGGCAGCTTGAGAGTAACGTAACGTACATTGACCAAGCGAGAGCAGCATAGGAGAAGGGGAAAGGAAAGAAGGAAAGACGGTTAAAGAGGAAGAATACGTTTCTCAATGAAAGGAGTCGTACGGTTCCTAATGGAGGAAGAAAAGAG